TCTCGGGGCTCAAGAGACGGGGTCGATGCAAACAGGGGTCAGCTGGAGGGTTCCTCCGAAAGGCTTGGGCGACCCGTCCTCCCCCTCCTCCTCCTCCTCCTCCTCCTCCTCCTCCTCCTCCTCCTCCTCCTCCTCCCTCCTCCTCCCTCCTCCTCCTCCTCCTCCCTCGCCTCCTCCTCCCTCCTCCTCCCTCCTCCTCCCTCCCTCCTCCTCCTCCTCCTCCTCCTCCTCCTCCCTCCTCCTCCTCCTCCTCCTCCTCCTTCTCCTCCTCCTCCATCTCCTCCTCCGCCTCCCCCTCCTCCACCTCCTCCTCCTCCTTCTCGGGTCGCCTGTCCGTAGCCATTTTGGTTCAAGTCGCCATGTCGCCGTGCGGCCGCATGGAGACCTCTGGGCCGAGGACAAAACCCATCAGCTTCCAGTCACAACCAGGGGTGAGCGGGCACCCACGCTTCCTGCCGCGGCTTGCGGCCGCCCATTCCTGCTCATATCCTTGGCATTGCAGGCTGCCTTCCATATCGTGCTGTCCATCGGCCAGACCTCCGTCGCCGTGCAACAGCTGGACTTCGGCCTGACCACCGTCGCCGATTTCCGCATCCATAACTCGCTGGACGCCGACTTGATCGTTCCCCAGCAGCAGCAGCAGCAGCTACGCAGTGGCATCGTACCCTGCCTGGCAAGTGGCGCAGCGCAGAACAGCTCAGTGCCCGACGAGCCGCAGCCATGTCCTCCAGTGAAGAGAGATCTACCTCACGCAGCGCCCCATCAGCCAGCCGTCGAAGCAAAGATCGTCGCCGTGAAAGAGAACGTCACGAATATGAACGCGCAGCTCGAGGACCCCCAGAACGTGAAGATAAAGGCTCTCGCGCAGCAGCCGCCCGCAATACTTTGGCAGCCTTCGGTGACAACGGCTTCTCGTCGCAGCCAGCAGCATCACGCTCGGGGAGGGCTTCGGGACAAGCACCGCGAGCTGGCAGGTCTTCAGCTTGCCCGCCGCAGCAGGTGTCCACCTTCGCCATGGATACTGGAGAAGAAGAACCGCACGATTCTGCACGCGCTGCCGCCGACGCCGCTGCTCAACAATATCGTGATGGTGACTGGATTGAACCTCCTATACAGCTTCCCGTCGCAGCACCTCGTCCAGACCCACTGGCAGGAGCAGCAGATCCTTGGCGGGACGGAGGCGCAGCCGCACATGCTCACGCCGCTGCAGCACACGGCCCTGGACTACCACCAGCCGCTGAAGGAACCGCCGCCGTCGGAGCCGCCGCCGCTCATCATGCTGGAGCCGAGCAAGCCACACCACCTGCTCCTGAACCCGTTCGTCTCCTCGGACTGGATCCCGACCTGGACAAGCACTACAAGAACTCATGCAAGCACAAGTCGCACATGCAACAAGTACTTTCCATTCGCAGGCCACTCAGCTACTTAATCAATCCAGAGAAAGCTTTCGTCAACTTCTCGCACAGCAAGTACAAGCCACTGAACGCCGAGTCGATACCCTTCATGATGTTGTCGCCAGAGCCCGCCGCGAACAGGACCGACAAGCCTCATGCCAGCAGAAGATGTGGCAACAGACCGACCAGATGCGTGAGACGCTCGCGCTCGCCGAGGCCCAGGCGCCGATTTCGGACCTCACCAGGCTCGCCGACTGGGAGCGCGCGATCGCCCCGACGATCTTCACCATCGGAGCTCAGCGCCTCATCGCGCCTAACGTGCTCCTCAACGACCTGCAGGAGTGGATCGCGTCCGCCAACCTGGCCACGGACGCCGTCGAGCGACTTGGAGATGAGCCCGCCCGCCGCTTCATTCTTTAAGTTAAAGAAGACCGCGCCCTCGCAGTACCTCGGGGGCTCGCTCTTTCTCGAGCCCTTCGCGACTCTGCAGGTAAGTGACAGCGATTCACATCGACGGACACCACGGGCGCGCTGGCTGACATCTACCTCAACCCCGACGAAGTCCCCAAGCATATCCAGCGCAAGAAACTCCTCCAACTTCTTCAGCATCGATATCCGCAAAAGTCATGGAAGGCCTACCGCGCCAAGGGCGAGGCCCACTGCAACGCCATGCCCGTCGTGCGCCTGGACGTCAAGGGCCAAGCCGACCCTACAACCCTGGAGTGGGACGAGAAGGCCTTCGAGCTTGCTCACTTCCGCGACATCGATCGCAGTGCCGTCCTCACGTCCTTCCAGGCGCTCTTCGCGGACACGGCGGAGGCCACGTGGCGGGTTTAGCCACCCCTGGGCACCGTGGAAGCCAGTCGAGGACAACCTCCTTGCTCGTTCATCACCTGGAACGCCCGCGCGCTCATGTGCCACAAGCGCTAGGAGGTCCACGGCTCGGAGAAGCTTCTCCGCACGTGGGTCGACACGCAGCCGTGCCCGTACAAGCTCTTCTCCTCGCAGTTCGTCGACGAGTCCGCCGGGGACGCGCGCACTGGCACGAGCGGCGTGGCCACCCTCACCCCGTGGCTCACGCACGCGCAGCTGGAGCAGCTGCAGCCGTCCCAGCTCCCGCTCTTCGCCCACGAGGAGCTCGTCAAAGGTCGCGTTTTGGGGGCCTCTGGGGCCGTCACGGGGCCATCTCGGAGGCCTCTTGGGCGATCTTGGGGCGACTTTGGCGGTCTCTGGGGCAGTCACAGGCCGTTGGAAAGCCGGAAAGGCGCAAACACCAAAATCCTTCAAATACTTAAGGAATATCAATGATTTGGGCCTCGTCGGGCCTTCCTGGAGGACCTCTTGGAGGCCTGTTGGGCCGTCTTGGAGGCCTCTTGCGGGCCTCTTGTTGGGCCGTCTTGGGCCAGAGTCAGGCTACCTTAGGCAGTGTTGGGTACATCTTGGGCCGTCTTGGAGGCATCTTGGGGCCATCTGAGCCGTATTGGAGGCCATCGCTGCCGTCTTGGAGGCATCTTGTCCGTCTTGGAGGCCATCTTGGGGCCGTCTGGGGCAGAGAAACCGTTGGCAACCACCTCTTCCGGGTGGCCGGCGGGACGGGTCGAAACCCCAGAGGGATTTCTTTTGGAGAAAGAACCAAGACCAAAACCATATTATTTGGCACGCCAGGCACCTTTTTGCTAAAGCAAGAGGGGGCGGCGGATCTAGTGGTCTTCGGCCCATCCCGCCACTGTGCTGGGGTCGTGGGCCAGAGGCTTTTGTGAATACGGCAGGGGGTTATATTAGAGGATGTCACGTGTCGAGGAGAGGTGGCACTCTACCCCGGGATATTCTCATTCGGCCAACGCGTGACGCGTGTTTGTGAAAACCCAGATAATCACGTTTGGGGGTTGTTCATCACTGTTTCCCTCTCATCCATCTCCCCTTTCCTCCCTCTCATGCTTCCTCCATCTTCTTCTCACCTTCATTATGTTCGTCATCATCATTGCCTCTCCTTTTTCCCTCTCCTCGTCTCTGTCTTTTCGTCGTTGTCTTTCTCGTGCTCCTCCTATATTCGTACTCTTGCTACTCGTGGGTGATCCCCTCGCGCTCATCCGTGTTCCCTTCCTCTCGACATCGACTGGACAGCTGTTTGACTAGGTCTCCCTTTGCTCCCGCGTGGTCGCCTCGCAGTTGCCTCCTGGAGGAGGAGGGACAAGTGAAGGTGGTGGAGATAAAGGAGGAGGAGGAGGAGGAGGAGGCGGAAGAGGACGAGCAGGGTGACATGGAGAGGGGGAAGACAAGTGTGAAAGCATGATGGTAGCCAAGTTTTCAATCGGGACATCGTGCCATCCAGTCGCTGGTGGACTCGGGCTGCAGCATGCCGCTATTGGCTCGGGCAGACTATTGGCCAATGCGTGAACTCGATTTTCTTGATCCAGGCATTGCCCGAATTTTCAGAGACGAGTCGACTACCGTGCGAACAGCAGCCAAGGACCATGACGCGGGCCCTTGCGGCTCCCACCGGTGCGCCAACGTTTGCGGAGCAGGGCTCTGTCTATGCGCCGCCCGCCCTTGGAAAGTACACCCAGAAGCGTGACCATGTCACGACGATGAACAGCTCACCGTCCTGGCCAATGACGGGATTTGCGCCAAAATGAGGACCATTCATGGTTCTGAAGAGAATCGATGCTTTGTCTGGTGAGGTTTCCTGAGCACCGAACGTAAGAAGTTAGACGGAGGAGGGGAAGGAGGGAGGGCAACGAGGAGGAGGAGGAGGAGGAACTGCGAAAGACGAAGACGGAACAGCTGGGGGAGGTCCCCCCCCATCCAGGGGACCGGTTTCTCATCCCGGGTCGTTGTGTCATTGTCTTTGGCCCAGAAGAGGACCGTCAGATGCCGCAGGCTTGGAAAGGCCGCCTGCCGAGTCGTCCATGACGCTGAAGGTATAGTCAACCCGCATGGTATGGATGGGCAACCTTCCCAAGGATACCCTTATATCCTTGCCTCCTCGGTCCATCCTTCGCTACTTTCGTTGGCCGCGCCCCGCTGGAGAAGCTTCGAAGTGGGCGTCCAAGGCCCTTGCATCCTTATCGCGCATCCTTTAAATACGGGCCGACTCTATGGGCCCTTGGCATCAAATTTGGCACTCCCGAGAGCTCCCTTGGGCCGCGCGCCCTGGCAGGATTTTTCGAGCTGTGTCCAAGCCGCCACACCGACGAGGACGCTCCCAGATGTCCCCCCCAGAAGCAGAAGGCGCAACACGAACTCGCGCGCCTCGACCCCCCTCTCTCCTCTCGAAAAAGAAACAACGGGCGTAAACATAAAATTTTGGCGCTCCGCGCAGATCTCTTGGATCGGCGCTGGGCGCCCCTGGCGGCGCCTCCAGCGCCGCTCCTGGCGCGCTCCGCGGGCCAGGGAGGGCGGCCCGGCGCGGATCCGAGATATCCGCGCGGACCTTCAAAAGTCTATGTTTACGTGGTTTGCTGTCCTTCTACCCTCGTTGGCGACGACGATATGGTGGTCAGCGTCGTCAGGCCAGCGTGGTCGTCTTCGATGTCGTCGCCGTCGTCGTCGAGATCCTCGTCGCCGTCGACGTCGTCGCCTTCGCCTTCGTTGTCGTCGTCGTCATCGCCGTCGCGAGGGTGGGGGAGGAGCCAGGAGAGAGTCGCCGACGCCTCGGCCAGCCGCATGGGCACGGCGTGGGAGCGGGCGGTCACACCTGGGGCGCACAGGCGCTGGTGCAGAGGGTGCCCGCGTCTTTCAGGGCCAAGGTGAGATCGGTCATCGACAAGATTGCCAAGGTCGAGCTCCTCCTTCCTCCTCCTTCCTCTCCTTCCTCCTCCCTCCCTCCCTCCCCCCCTCCCTCCGTCCTCCCTCCCTCCTTCCGTCCTCCCTCCTTCCTCCCTCCCTCCCCTCCCCCCCCCCTCCCTCCCTCCCTCCGTCCTCCCTCCCTCCCCCCCTCCTTCCGCCACCCTCCCTCCGCCTGCGGCCCCCTGTCCGCGCGGCGCCCGGAGCGTGAGCTGGCAGACACCCCCGCCGCCCCGCACAGAGGGCGGCTCCCCCTCCCCGGGGGGGTGGCCCCGTTCTCTCAGGCAGAAGCCGCTCCCGAGACGGCCGGGGGGGTCTGCCGGCCAGGGCGGTAGGGCTCCGCATGCACGGGAGCGCCGCGACGGCCACGAGGGAGGTGGCGCCCACCGCGAGCTCCGGCCAGCGCCGCGGTCGACCACCGCCGCGCCCTCCTCCTGGCCCTCGCTGGCGCCGGCCTCTGGCCTCTGCGGCCCGCGCCTGGTTCGGCTTGGGCCCTCGTCCCGCGAGGTTCCCTCCGCGTCCTCCTGACTCTCCGGCGCTGGTGTCGCCTCCTCTTCTCCTCCTCGTCCTGTGCTTCGTCATCGTCGTCGTCGTCGTCGTCGTCGTCGTCGTCGTCGTCGTCGTCGTCGTCGTCGTCGTCGTCGTCGTCGTCTGGCGTTCGCGGCCTTGCTGCAGTCCCGGCGCTGTCTCCTCCTCCGCTTCCTCATGTTCCCTCCTCTTCCTCTTCTTCCTCCCCCCTCCCTCCACCATGCGGGATGCCACTCAGGCGTCGTTGTGGCCCAGCGGTCCTCCTACTGTAAACGCAAAGCGCTACATCCGCATGAGCGGGGCCTCCGATCGCCCCACAGACCCGCACCGATGGACACCTGCAGGGGAGCTCGTGGTCCCTGAAGGACGTCAAGCTGCTGATGCGTGCCTGGACAAGCCTCTAACACCGCTGCGGCCCCCGAAGACGTCGCACTTCCTTCGTTGACGGCAACACCCACACGGCGACGACAGCTCAGGAATCCCACCAGCCCTTTGGGCGTGAGTGGTTTAGCGAGCCTTCTCTGTTCTCACCCCCCCACCCCCCCTTCTTCCCCTTCGGGGAGGGGTTTACCCCTCCCCCTACCCCCTCCCCCTGGACCTGGAGAGCGCGGACCGCGGGTCGTCAGGGTGGTCTTTTTCGACGCCTCGGAGGGCCAAAAAACGACGACCCTCAAGAGGATTCTGGCTCCGACGGGGGGACGCTCTTGTAGCCCCCTCCTCTTCTGTTAAGCCAAAATCCTTGCTTTTACGAGGGTTTTGGCCCCATTTTGGCCTCCCGAGGGGGCCGCGCTCATCTTCCTTCATAGCAAAATCATTGATTTTACTAGGGTTTTGGGCTCATTTTGTCCTTTTCAGGGGGCAGCGCTTCTTTGCGCTTCTGAGGAGGTCGCAAGAGGCGCCAAGATGGCCCCAAGAGGCCCCCAGGAGCCTCCCAAGAGGCCTCCAAGAGGCCCCCAAGAGGCCCCCAAGAGGCCCCAAGAGGCCTCCAAGAGGCCCCCCAGAGGCCCCCAAGAGGCCCCCAGAGGCCCCAGGAGGCCCCGAAGAGGCCCCCAAGAGGCCCCCAAGAGGCCCCCAAGAGGCCCCAGGAGGCTCCAAGAGGCCGCCAAGAGGCCCCACGAGGAGCCCGAACGACTCACACCAGGTCGAGGGACCCGAACGACTCATACCACGAAGAACCCGAACGACTCACGCCAGGTCGAGGGGCCCGAACGACTCATACCACGAAGAACCCGAACGACTCACGCCAGAAGGAGGACCCCGAACGACTCCTACAAGGACGAGGCGCCCGACCCATTCACACCACGAGGAGACGGAACGACTCACACCACGACGCGCGCCTCGAACGACTCACACCACGAGGAGCCCGAACGAGTCACACCAGTACTACTACTACTACTACTACTACTACTACTACTACTACTACTACTACTACTACTACTACTACTACTACTACTACTACTACTACTACTACTACTACTACTACTACTACTACTACTACTACTACTACTACTACTACTACTACTACTACTACTACTACTACTACTACGACGACGACGACGACGACGACGACGACGACGACGACGACGACGACGACGACGAACGACGACGACGACGACGACGACGACGACGACGACGACGACGACTACTACTACTACTACTACTACTACTACTACTACTACTACTACTACTACTACTACTACTACTACTACTACTACTACTACGACTCCTACGACGAAGGGCCCGAACGACTCGCACGCGGACGAGGTGCCCAAACGCCGCACACCACGAGAAGCCCGACCGACTCACACCAGGACGAGAGGCCCGAACGACTCACACCACGAGGAGCCCGAACGACTCACACCAGGACGAGGGGCCCCGACGACTCACACCAGGACGAGACGCCCGAACGACTCACACCACGAGGAGCCCGAACGACTCACAACACGACGAGCCCGAACGACTCACACCAGGAGGAAGGGCCCGAACGACTCACACAACGAGGATACCGAACGACTCACACCAGGAATAGGGTCCCGAAAGACTCACACAAGGACGACGGGGCCGAAGGACTCGCACAACGAGGGCCCGCACCGCCGCCTTCGTCGTCGCCGTCGTCGTCGTCGACGTCGTCGTCGGAAGCAGGAAGAAGGAGGAACAGGGGGGGTATGCGGCGCCAAGCAGACACACGCCTGAAAAACACAACTGTCGGCACGCTTCGCAAGAGTTGCTGTTGTGAGATGGGCTGGTGGGGATGCGCGAAGCGTAAAGAATTAGCCACGTCCTTCGACCAAGCTGTCAAATTCGACACCTTTCTGGGTCAAAAGATCCGCCCAGGCCGTTCATGCCGACCTCAACTTGGTCGCACCGACGCCCAGGCCCCAAGTGCAGTAAACATTCGCCATTGACCGCAAAGTTCCAGGTTGGCCACTCCGCCCGAAAGTCCCACCTGAATGTGTTACTGGATGTGATGATGTGTTTGGCCATGTGCGTCCCCCTCCACGCAGCGGAGCTGCAAGCCATCTTCTAGAGGGGACGTCTGCTCGCGGTGCACCGACATTGCTGAGGGACCACAGCATGACCGACATCGTGGCCGATCTCCGCGAAGCCGTCCAGCACCTAGACACAGGTGACCCAGGGGGCCGCTCGCACTATGTGCTTGCACCAGCTGGGCTGGGCCTGGCCCTCATGTGGCATCGTGCGCGGTCACCGAGGTGTTCCGCTTCGCTGGCTGGCACGCCGCGCTGCCGGTTTTTATGGCACGCGTGCTGCCCGCGTCCACGGGACGTGCCGCTCCTCCGCGAATCTCCCCTTGCCCCGAAACGACCGCGGGATCCTGGTAACGTACCATCAGGGAGAGGCTGGACATGCACGACGCCGCGCGGCTGGTCCGTGAGAAAAGGGCGGCCGCGAAATCACTCGCTGGCAGATAGCTTTCCTCGACAATGTTCTAGTGGGTGGCGCCCATGCCCCCCAGCATCGGAAGGCGGGCCCGGGCTCGGCCGCTGGCTCTCCCCGCCCTGCCGGTGGTGAAACCAAGACGAGGAGTCACAAGAGCGCACGTTGCGCTAGTGGTCTTGGTACTCTGAACCTTGCGCCTTGCCGACCAGAGGCAGCGGTTTCCACCCCGCACGCGGGGCTGAGGGATCCGCTGCAGCTCAGGCCCCGACCCCGACCTGAGGATGACTGTCTCCCAGGCGACGACCAGTCCTAGGGCGACCCCGGCGCCCACTGTCGAGGGGACTATGCTGGCACGGACGGAGCCTGGGCCAACCCGGACTACCCGCTCGCTGCGTGCACGTGCCGCGCGCGGGATCATCTGCGGTAATGGGCACCGTCTGAACCGCTCTGACCGGGTGTACGGCTTGGTCATTTCAGAACGCCCAGCGTGCCGATACCCCCGTTGCCGAGTGCCCCGCTGCTCATGTCTTGGTCGGCATGGGCCGCGGTCGACGGCTTCACTGGCTCAGTGGCGGGCGGACCGCCGCTCGGTGGGGCCGTGCGCGGACCCGTGGAGCCATATTCGCACAGCTCCTCGCGGCAATTTGATTTCTTCCGCGCGTTGGGGAGGTGGCTAGCCACCTCGGCAACGAATGCGCCGACGCGGACTTCGAGGGAGTACATGAACTGGTGGTTTGGTACTACAGCCACGTTGGCCATCGCTCACCATACGCATCCCGTTGGTCCAGCGGCTACTCAAACCAGCCGCCGTCCCTCACTCCGCGGCGGTGAACATCTACGAACGCCGCCCCCCGAATGACCTCGCCGCTGCCCCACCAGCGAGGAGGGTGCGCCCAGGGTTGAGTCGGGCACGCCCGGGTTAAGTCGGGCACGCCCCTCTACAGGAGGAATATTCAAAAATAGCCAAAGCATAGTCTGGGGACGATTCTTCGGGCACTTTTGGCAAGTTTTCAGCATGTTTTGCACATGCTTGCTTCTTCGTCCAGAATCCGCCTGCAGGGGATCATGCCCGACCGAAGCCCAGGGCGAGCTGGCTGCCACGGGCCCGCACCCCGGCCTCCACGGCCGAGCGGTCCACGAAGAAGTTGGCTGACAGGGCAGGCCGAGCGGGAGCGCCCGCGGCCGCCCTCGCGGGCGCCGACCCCCTGGACGTTTGTGACACCTTGGGCCTTGGGGGCCTCACGGGCGCCGCCGATGCACCCGCCTGCCCTTGGCCACGAGAGCTCTCGACGAGGAGCCTGCGGTCTCCGAGCACGTGGAGCCCGTGGCGACGTGGACGGAGGAGCCCGGGCAGACCCCCGCCGATGAGGGGGTGAGGAGGAGGAGGAGACGGAGGAGGAGGAGGAGGAGGAGGAGATGGAGATGGAGATGGAGATGGAGATGAGGATGAGGAGGAGGAGGAGGAGGAGGAGGAGGAGGATGAGGATGAGATGATGATGATGATGATGATGATGATGATGATGATGATGATGATGATGATGAGGAGGAGGATGATGAGGAGAGGAGGAGGATGAGGAGGAGGAGGAGGAGGAGGATGAGGAAGAAGACGGGGAGGTATCCAGTGAGCAGGAGGCTCCGGAGGATGCCGATGAGGAAGGGGGCGGAGGTGGAGTCCAGCGCGCCGCTCCAGGCCCCGCCACCGACGCAGTGTCCTTGCCTTTAGCGCCCTCCTTCACTGGCCTCCAGCGTCCGAGCCCCACTGCAGCACCGGCCCCCCGTGGCCGGTGGGCTTCAGAACCTCGGCATCGCGGGGACGTGTGCCTGTTTTCCTCGGCCAGGACCATCGAAGAGGATCCTCGACCATCGAGCAAAGAGAAACACGCACGAAACCGAAGCATGCACGGGACATGGGCGTCCAAGCAACGGCAAGGACCCGTCGGGCGTCTGAGCCGGAACCAGCTGATGATTCAGACCCACTGACACCGCCAAGTCTTGCGGCGCCCCCGCCCAAACGGGCCCTTGCGGACGCGGCCCCCGCAGCCGCGGCCGGAGGGCCCGGTCCAGTCCAGCGCCGCATCGCCGGGCTCGAGGCCGATTTGGGAGGCGGCCTTGCGGCGGCATGCCCAGGCGGGCCTTGGCCACTGCTGCCATCCAGCGAGACCGCCTCGCCCGCCACAGCGGGGTGACCCGCGTGCACGCTGCGGGCGCCGATGGCCACGCCTCTGCGGTCGTCGCGGCCCTGCCCCCCCCCCCCCCCGAGCCCCTCGGCTGCCAGCACGGTCACGGCTGCCGAGCTCGCCCGTGCTGCGCGGCATGGCCAGCCCTGCGGAGGGGGGCCGCAGGCGGGGGCTCGACGTCGTCTCCGCCCAGCTGGCGTTCGCCCCTTCGCCGCCGTCGGCGTCCAGGCGATGCCCAGGGCCGATTCGCGTCTCTTCCTACGCACAGTTTTGCCCACGGCGCCCTCTGGGGAGTGGCTTTCCTCTTGGGATGCCCGATCACCGAGCTGAGCGATGGTGGGCCTTCGCCAAGGCGCCAACGTTGGCATTGGGGCATCTTTGCGGTCTTAGTGCGATCACTTTGTTTGTATCGGGCCTCTGCTTCACGGCTCGTGAGTCCCGCGCACCTCCGCTTCACGTGCGTTGGCGGGCGGCCAGCGCCGTCGCCGTGCGCAGTCGTACGTAGTGACCTGGCGTGCCGCTGTTGCGGGCCGCGAGCCTCGCGGTTGATGTACCCGTCTTCTTGATTGCGAGCGCTTCGCCTGCTTGTACGGTGAGCGCCCTGACGAACCTATCGCCCATTCGTGCCGCCTTATCCTTCGCTCGTCCGCCCTTCGCTTTCTCCCTACCTCTCTCATCTTTCCTCCTCGTTTCACCGCGTCCTCCCACCTTCCTCCTCCTCATATCTCCTCCTCTTCATCCTCCTCCTCCTATTCCTCCTCCTCCTCCTCCTCCTCCTCCTCGTCCTCCTCCTCCTCCTCCTCCTCCTCCTCCCCCCCCTCCTCCCTCTCTCCCTCTCCTCCACCCCTCCCCCCTCCGTCCCTCCCCCATCCCTTCATCTATCCTTCATCCTTCTCGTCGCTCATCGCTCCTTTCTGGTCCTTTCTCCTCCCCTTTTGGGTCCCGGAGGCTGTTTGTACCCCTCACGGGACATCCTAGGTCCTAGGACACCATCCAGCAACATCTTGTGTCGTTTTGCATCCTGAAAACCTCTCCTTCTCCGTGCTCCCTCCTCATCAGGCCTTGTCCTCCTCTGGACCCGTTCTTTATAGGTAATTTCTCGCCTGACCACCAAACATGCCCGCAGGGCGGGTCGGGGAATCGCCTGAAATTCTTATTCCCTGCTTATTGCCCCCCAGGCTTGAAACTCGCAGCAACCATACTGATGGAGGCAGGATCCTTTTCGAAATGTTGTTCTCGCTTCAGCGCCGCGCGCATTTGTCCTAGAGTGGAGGGTGGTCTCTCTCAATCATGTGAGTACCGTCCTAGCGTTATGATGTTCCAACCTACTCCAGCCTCGGGAACAACATAACCCTAGCGCCGCGCACATTCTGCTCGAAGGCTTCTAACATATACTCTGATGGAGGAGGGCTGATTTGACCACATGGTTTGCGCCTTGGCGCCGCACGCCTTGTCCTCCACATCTTCCAGCATCAGCACGGACGGAGGATGCTCACTTTCCATGTTGCGGTTCCGCCTTCTCGGCATGCATCCGATCATTCGATGCAGCCTTGCCCGTGTTAACACGATTGGTCGTTCGAGCTGTTGCTCTCGCTTGTCTGCGTGCTGCACTCCAGTGCCCGCATGAGCAGAGACCCTCACTCTCGCAAGAGGGTTACACCTGCACGGGTTGAGAGCGGCTCTCCTCAAAGGTGCGGCTCCCGGTGGCGATGTGTTCGTGTGTTGTATAGCCAGGCGCTCGCATGGGAGACCGGGTCCGCGGAGTGAGGGTGCCCCTTTTTTCCAAGTGGGGCTACCGTTGGACACCTCGCTTGCTGCACTCCGCGGTCGTGCCTGGTCGCCGCCTTCACCAACCAGAGGCACACCCGCACCTGCAGGGACTGCGGGGCGCCCCTCCTTCAAGGGTTGCGCACCCCGCGCGGTGGAGAGATTTCCTGCACCGGCGGAATGGGATGAAATGAGATAAAGGGGAGTGGGGGGCGGGTGGGCGCAGTGTCGCATTGATGCATGTTTGGACCTATTCTGGCCCTCCATGTTCCCTCTCTTCCTGCATCCCCACGCATCATTTATCCTCTTCAGGTTGGCCTCCGATCAGGGGCAGTACGGTAGTATCCGATGGTCTGCACCGCCATTTTTTTGTTGTGAACGTCCTTGGTATCTCCTTGTGGCCAGTGTCGGTGTCCTCCCTCCAGTTCATCTTGCTTGCTGGTCCTGTTGTAGGGGCCTCCGGGCACCCGAGAACAACACCCCAACACATTCTGGAACCGTCTCCTCCCTTCTCCTCCTACTCCTCATACTCATACTCATACTCATACTCATACTCCTACTCATACTAATGCTCATGCTCATGCTCATGCTCATGCTCATCCTCATCAGCAGCATCATCATCGTTGTCTTTACAAACATCATCAATATCATCCTCATAAACGCCACCACCATCATCATCACTACGATCATAATCATCACCATAATCGTCATCATTACCATCAGCATCATCATCAGTATCAGCATCACCATTATCAACAGCAGCATCAATACCATGATCCGCATTCACTGGCATCATGATCTTTATTAATAACCGTATTATCAGCAGCATCAGCAGCATCAGCATCCTATGCAGCATCATCATCACAATCAGCTTCAACATCGTCATCATACCATCATCATCACCAGCATCCATCCATCCGTCCATCCATCCACCTACCCATCCATCCATCCAGCCAGCCAGCCAGCCATCCATCCATCCGTCCTTCCTCCATCCGTTCTCCCTGCAAGTTTGTGTGTTCTTCCCCCATCGTTCTCCTCCTCCTCCCCCTCCTCCATCTACCCCATTCAGCCCTTCATCCCCCCCCCCTCCCCCCCCCGTCCCCCCCCCATGCCGTCCCCCCCTCCCTCCCCTTCTGCCGTCGGCGGCGGCTGCGGCGTGCCTCGAGCGGCGGCGGGCCGAGAGGTCGAGGGCGACGCGGCGCAGATCCTGGACCTCGGCGCTGCTCGGCCCTCCTCCTTTTTGTCCTCCTCCTCCTCCTCCTCCTCCTCCTCTCCCTCCTCCCCCTCCTCGAGTCTAGACCTTCGATCCTCGACGCTCGCCCCTCCCCCTCGACCTTCTCCCTCGACCCTCCCCTCAAAAGAGGCTGGAAAAGCTCCTCCTCCTCCTCCTCCTCCTCCTCCTCCTCCTCCTCCTCCTCCTATCCTCCTCCTCTTCCTCCTCCAGGATACGAGGAGGGCCTCCTCCTGAGGGTTGGGGAGGTAAGGACGACGACGATACCGCCGTGAAACAGATGAAGATCGCCACCGCGAAAGGGAAGGTGGAGGAGGAGGAGAAGGAGGAGGAAGAGGAGGAGGGGTAGGACGATGAGGAGGAGGAAGAGGAGCAGGAGGAGGAGGAGGAAGAGGAAGAGGAGGATGAGGACCTCCTCCTCCTCCTCCTCCCTCCTCCTCCTCCTCCTCCTCCTCCTCCTCCTCCTCTTGCCCCTCCCCGCGGTAAGGAATTTTGGGTTGTTCGCGCTTTGAGGGCCTCCTTCGGGGCCCTCGTTGCCACGGCTGGAGCCGCCTCGGAGTCTCCCTGTCGGAGCGCGCTCGGGGGGGCATTGCGTAGGTCCGGGGGGCCGACTCTGAGTGCGGCGGGCCCAGACTTCCAGGGGCGAGCTGACGCAGTCACGCTGGCATGCCTTTCAGAGGTCTTGGGCCTCCAGGCGCCGTCCTTTGGGCTCACAGGGGAGAGGCGTCCTTGCTCGCCTGTAGGTCCACCAAAGAATGCTCTAAGAACCTTCTGTGGTCTGCGCGAAGTGTTCTTAGAACGTTTCTGGCTGAGTCTGTTTTGCTTGAACCCATCGGGCTTCTGGTCTAGGAGTAGTGTTTTTGTTCTTAGAACATGTGTATGTTCTAAGAACATGTCGTGGTAGGCCTTTTGGAATGCCATGACGGTCGGTCCCTGCTCAATTTCCCCCCCTCCCCTCTCCGCGGCCCCCGCCGTCGTGCCGTCCCGTCGTCTGTTTTTCCCTTTGGCTCCTGCCGCCTGGCTCCCCTTGCGCTGGCAGGAAGGGTATCGATCGGACGGTGCCAGGCCGAGGATACATCCGATCCACAGCGTGAACGCTCTCAGAACGCTCTCAGGAGTACTCTTCCTGAGTGGCAGCGCCTCGGACAGGAAGCTCTGGGGGCTTGTCGGACGAAGCTCGGGCGAGAATACACCCGTTTCACAGCGTTCTGGAACGCTCTCAGAGCGTTCGGGAACTCTCTGAGAAGGCCGCGGCGCCCGAGACGTCCTCCAGAGCCGACGGATCTCCGAGATTGCCGACTTCTCCTCGCCCGACTCCCCCTACGGTAGGTTCGCGTCGTGTCGACCGGCGGCGACCCCGCCGCCGGCGTTCAGCTTTGAAAGCCGCCGACGACGACCCATAATTGGCCCTTCGTGGAACGATTCGGCGTTTCTGAAGCGGCCGATCGTTCAAGGGTCTGAGCGATTCCCGCGGCGCCAGTCAGTATCGTTTAACCGACCCCCATCCCCATCCTCATCCCCTTCGAGACCCCACCAAATTACCACCCCAGTTGGGGATGCACACCTCGAGACCCGAAGGGAACGGCCTATATCCCCATCTAGCGGGGTAAATCGGCCAGTGGGGCCCAGGCCACGCCGCTGGGGATGGGGATCCTTTAAACGACACCCCGTCAGGATCTGACGCCTGGGGAGGAGGAGGAGGAGGAGGAGGAGGAGGAGGAGGAGGAGGAGGAGGAGGAGGAGGAGGAGGGAGGAGGAGGGAGGAGGAGGGAGGAGGAGGAGGAGGAGGAGGAGGAGGAGGAGGAGGAGGAGGAGGAGGAGGAGGGAGGGGAGGAAGAGGAGGAGGAGGGAGGAGGAGGATGGAGGAGGAGGAGGAGGAGGAGGAGGAGGAGGAGGAGGGAGGATGAGGGAGGAGGAGGGTAGAGGAGAGGGGAGGAGGAGGAGGAGGAGGGGAGGAGGAGGGGAGGAGGAGGGAGGAGGGAGGAGGAGGCGAGGAGGAGGAGGAGGAGGCGGAGGAGGAGGAGTAGGGAGGAGTCGAGGAGGAGGAGGAGGAGGAGAGGAGGAGGAGGAGGAAGTCAAGGAAGGAAGGAAGGAAGGAAGGAAGAAGGAGGAAGGAGGAGGAGCAGGAAGGAGGAGGAGGAAGGGAGGAGGAGGGAGGGGAGGGGGAGAGAGAGGAGGAGGAGGAGGAGGCAGGATGAGCAGGAGGCGGAGGAGGAGGAGGAGGAGGAGGAGGAGGAGGAGGAGGAGGAAGGGAGGAGGGAGGGAGGAGGAGGAGGAGTGAGGAGGAGGAGGAGGAGGAGGAGGAGGAGGAGGAGGAGGAGGAGGAGGAGGAGGAGGAAGAGGGAGGAGGAGGAAGGGGAGGAGGAGGAAGGCAGGAGGAGGAGGAGAGGAGGAGGAGGAGGAGGAGGAGGAAGGGAGGAGGAAGGGAGGAGGAGGAGGAGGAGGAGGAGGAGGAGGAGGAGGAGGAGGAGGGCTAAACGATACTCCGTCAGGAGCTACACGCCGGGGTCGACGCGATGCGGGCCTGCCGTGCCCCCCCCCCTTCTGTGCGCGCCGCCAGGCCCTGGCCCTGCGCCTCTGCACCCCGCGCGCGGGGGCCTCCACGTGCTCCCCCGGCCCCGCGCGGAGCTCCGGCTGCAAGTCGGGCGTGCCCCTGTGCACGAGAAACATGCACAGATAGTCCAAGATCAGTCTGGGGGCGATTTTTCGACTACTTCCTGAGTATGTTTGGGAATTTGAGTTTTTTGTGTTGTTTTTTTCGCCCAAAATCCGCCTGTAGGGGGACATGCCCGACCTAACTCCAGCTGCCCGGCACGGGGGGGGCCTTGCATGCACGGCCCTGGCACGGGGTGGGGCGCAGAGGAAGTGCACCAGCTCCACGGCCGCCCTGGTACCTTGGGAAAAAAACACGGGGAACCACCATCCACGTCCACGATGCCTCTTCCTCTTCCTCCTCCTCCTCTTTCTCCTTCTTCTCATTCGCCTCAACCTCCTGCTGTCATTTTTTATTATCTGCGTTAATAGTAGTACTATACTCTTTCGTATTATCATATTCTACTATATTATATTATATTATATTATATTATATCATTTCATTATTATTACTATTACTACTAATAGCTTTATTAGTAGTATTCCTCTTACTCTTATTTATATTATTATTTCCTCCTCCTCCTCAACCTCTTATTATTCTTCTCGTTATAATCATTCTTCTTCTTCTATAGCACGACTCATCTGACAACCAATACCTCCCTCCCATCGCTTCCCACGGCGCTGGCCTCTTCTTTATGCACGGACGCGTCTCATAGCCGACCTGCGACTCACGGAGGCAGACCACTTCGTTTTATGCGCAATCGGAAAAAACAGCAGCTGCGTGCACAAGAGGAGGTAGCGGGTGAGCAGGAGGATGAGCGTGAGGAACAATAATGAGGACGAACAGCAGCAGCAGGAACTAAGCGGAAGGATCGGGAGGATAAGGAAGGCCAGAGGAAGGCGGAGGCGACAAAGATGAATACTTATTTGGATTCAGTAAAGTGGCCCGCGTTGGGGCGAGACGAACAGCAGCAGCAGCAGCAGCAGCAGCAGCAGCAGCAGCAGCAGCAGCAGGAACTGGAGTGGAAGGAGCAGGAGGAACAGGAGGACGAGGGGACGAGGGGAAGGCTGAGGAAGGGAAATGATGGAAATGATGCTGGGGACTACAATGAAGCAAGACTCGGGTCCAGAAAAGTGGCCCGCTCTGGGGCGAGAACACCGGTCCGAACAACGGGAGCAACACGCCGATCCGAAATGAAGTTCATTCTGCAGTGGGAGCACCATTTTGAAACACCGAGAACAAGTGGATTGCAAACGACCATGAGGAAATCAATGTTCGAATTCTGGTGTTTTTGTCCATACACAATCTAACAAACCGCGGAGGGGGCGGGAGGTCTTCTGGACAACTTCAGGGAAGGAGGGAGAGTAGTATTCATATGGTTCAACTGCTTAGATGGGGGTATCATGGTGGGGGCCATGCTATCTCCCCAGATGTCATGGCGCCTTTGTTTATTCTCTCTTATTTCAACACGTCCCCCCTGGGCCGCACACCCGCCGCCGGCCAGAACCTGCGCCCCTCCCTTTTGGACGTCCCCAACAGCAGGAGCCCTCGTCGGTGGCGAGATCCGAATCTCGCCCTAGCCAGTGAGCTTGTCAGGCAACTCGATGGGCGGGGGAGGAGGAGGAGGAGGAGGAGGAGGAGGAGGAGGAGGAGGAGGAGGAGGAGGAGGAGGAGCAGGAGAAGGAGGAGGAGCAGGAGGAGGAGGAGCAGGAGGAGGAGGAGGAGGAGGAGGAGGCGGAGGAAGCGGAGGAGGAGGAGGAGGAGGAGGAGGAGGAGGAGGAGGAGGGTAGGGTTCGGTTGGCGGGGGTAGGTTTATGATGTCGCCGCCCATCCTGGCTCCGGGCCACGGTGTTCCTCCAGTGTTCGGCCATCGTCGGGCGTCACCCCCTGGAGGGGCCTCCGGTTCCTCCTGGCAATCGAGGCTCCAGGATTTTAGCTAGAGGCAGCTTCTGCACGCTGAGGACCGTTTTGGAAGGCACTGGCGTGAGATTGCGGGCGCACACCATGTCACTAGGGGAACAAGAAGTGTCAGAAACATAAAAACTGGGAGGCCCGCGCGGATTTCTCGGATCGGCGCCAGACCCCCCCGGCGGCGCCTCAGGCGCCGCCCCTGGCGCGCTCCGCGCGCCAGGGGGGGGCATTCAGCGCCGATCCGAGGAACCCACGCGGGACCTCCGAGTTTTTATGTTTATGTCATTCTTCGTTATCATGTTATGCTTACGCGTATGTTTATGCAATGATTATGTTTATGTTGTTTTCCCCATTTATGTTTTATGATTATGTCATTGTTATGTTTATGTTTATGTCAAGGATCTGGCGCTTCCTCGAGGAGGTGGCGCCCCCCCTGGTGGTGACCCCCCCGTGGCATTGCCCCACGGCGGCGGTGGTGGCGGCCAATCTCCCGCAGCGTCGTGGGAGGCGCGACCGGTGCCCCTGGGAAGCGCGACATGATGGGCCTGTTTCCCACCACCACCACCATAAGTAGGAGTGGGAGGGAATCCTCCTCCCCCTCCTCCTTCACCTCCTCCTCCTCCTTCTCCTTCTCCTTATTGTCCTCCTCCTCCTCCGCCTCCAACTTATGGTGGTGGTGGTGGAAAACAGGCCATCACGACAGCTTCGCCCAGAAGACCTTCTTCGAGCAGTGGCGTAGCTTCCTGGCTTGCCTATATCTAGGCCTCCTAGATGGGGTCGGAGCAGGTGGGGTCGGAGGATCGCGCCGCAACGCCAATGCATCGGCGATGCATCGGCGATGCATCGGCGATGCGGCTCGATGTGGGGCCAGCGTATCCCCACGCCGACGTCGCCGATGCATCGCCGACGTCGCCGATGGATCGCGGAGACATCGCCGATACATTGCCGATGTATCGGCGATGCGGCGCGATCCTCCGACTCCTGCTACTCCGACCCCATCCAGGAGGCCTTTACTATAGGCCCACCGAAGAATGTTCTAAGAACATTCTGTGGTCTGCACGAACTGTGACTTCCTCGTTTCAACACATAGGGGTTCTGTTCTAGAAGCATTGTCTTTGCTCTCAGTGCATGCTCGGATTCTGAGAACATGTCGTGGTGGGCCTGCAAGAAAGATGGGGCGGTCGGTCCCTGCTCAACTTGTGCTCCCCACGGTCGCCCGCCCGAACTCCGCCGACGTCGAGCGTTCGTTCCCGCGCGAACGCGCTCGAGCCAGGGCGATCATGGAGATGGCGGCGCTCCAGGGAGGGCGGGGCGGGTGGGGCGCGGTATCTTCATCTGTGCGGCATGTCCGCGCCACGCTGACGCGGCGGCGCCCGCCAGTGCGGACGATCAGGTTTGAGCGCCGCTAGTGGCCCAGAACCTTCCGTTATCGAAGGATCGGCGCCCTATCGGAGAGTCGTTCGTTCAAGGCTGAAACGACCCACGCGGTGTCAGAAGCCAACGCCGACGTCGTCAGGGCAGGGACCCTGCTGCAGACTGCTGAGCTCCTGGCATAGCCTCTTCTTGGGTGTTGGATACTGCGACCCACGTGCAATCCCAAGTCCAGCAAACGCGCAGAAGGCCACTGGAGCCCGCTGAGGACCGCGGAGACTGCCGAAGACCAACCGAGAGCCGACCGACAGCGAGGGTGCCAATGGTCCAGCACGTAACTTCTCTGTCTCCCCTCACCCCTTTCTTGGGTGTTGCCAGAGGTGGCCCTTTCCCCAGGGTGATCGCAGCTTTCCTGAGGGCGGTCCGAGCTGGCTCCCAGAGCACGCTTCACGAGGCCCAGGAGGCCCCAGGGGTTCAAACTGGCGCGAACAGTCGAGGGCACCTTGGGGCCAGGTCTCCTCTGGCAACCTTCCCCCTTCTCCGCCTGCTCGCCCGCCCGCCTCACGCTCCCCCGCCCTCCGCCTCCTCTTCCTCCTCGCCCGCATGCCACCGACCGCCTTCCTCCGCGCCGTCTTGCTCCGCCTCGCTTGCGTTAATTGACCCTCTCTCCCGCACTGCCCCGCTCTCCGCCTTCGCCTCCTCGCCCGATGTCCGCCTTTTTCCCGCCTTCATCCTGCATCCTGCTCCTCCTCCTCCTCCTCCTCCTCTTCCTCCTCCTCCTCCTCCTCCTTCTCCTCCTCCTCCTCCTCCTCCTCCTCCTCCTCCTCCTCCTCCTCCTCCTCCTCCTCCTCCTCCTCCTCCCCCCTGCTCTTTGCTCCCTGCTGGTGCGCCCCATTTCTCCCCCGCCCTCTTCCCAGCATGGACCAGCCGTCCTTGATCTGGCGCGTGCATCGACCCCTTGGGCAAGCACTGCGGCTTCGCTCCATCACAACTGGGATGCTTCGACTGTTTTTTTTTTCTGGGGGGAGGAAGTGCGCCGATCTCGACAGGCTCTGGCCGGCGGCACCTCAACATGTTCCTACTATGTGTGCGTCTCCCGCGGGCGACGCGCGCACCGAGAAATCTTATAGCAGATGCGCCGCGGCGGGCGCTTTCTGGCCGGACCGCACGATGAATATATTGCATGTTCGGGTCGGACGCACGCCTCCAAGGAGGACGCATAGTACTAGTATGTCCTGGTGCGTCCTAGTGGGGGGAGAGGCGCGCCGATCTCGACAGGCTCTGGTGCCGACCCCCCTCATGTACCCACGGTGCCGCGCGCCTGCCCCCCCCCCCGGTTGGGAGCGGGCCCCACCCCTTCCCCCCCCCCCCTCTCCAAGAACAGGAGGGTGTTCGGTTCTGGGCCTGGCCCCGGAGGAGAAGGAGGAGGAGGAGGAATAGGAGGAGGAGAAGGAGGAGGAGGAGGAGGAGGAGGTCCTGGCCCCGGTTCTGGCCGCGGCGCCCCGGCCTCGACTCTGGCCGGGCCGTCGCTGGCAAAGCAATGCGTGGGAGCCCGGTGTGCCCTCGCAACTCCGTCTTTGGAGTGCCCTCGCGTCGATTAGCGTCGGGTGGTCGATGAGGCAGCGCTGACTTGGCATCGACCACAGTGGGGGCGCGCATCAAGAAACCATATGCCTTTCGTCAGGCTATCCCGGGTGTCTTCGCTCCTCGCGCTGCGGGGTGACTTCCCGCAGCCGTTGAAGGAGCTGCTGCGTTCAGTGCTCCGGGTTTCCCCTCAGGTGCACCTCGCGCACGGGTTCTCAGGGTTGGGTTTCTTGCGAGGGTTTCTTGCGGCCGCGCCCGCACTGTAGCGTCGAGTAGCGTCGATCAGCGTCGATTTGGCGTCGATTTTGCGTCCATTAGGGTCGACTCGCAAGAGCCGACAAGATGGTATGGGAGACCCCCATGGCATGGGTTGCCACAGAGCAACACCTTCTCGCCAGGAGATGGCCAACGCTTTCACGACTTGGTCTGGATCCGCTTGAGCGGAAACCTTCCAGCCCTCCACTCCGACATGCATTTGCTTGCATGTGCCAGGAGATGGCGCAGGCCTCAGTCGACACTGGGGAGGGCCTGGACGACGATTCCACCATGCGGCTCCTTTCGGCGCAGAACATGCCGCTCCTGCAGGCTGGGCCTGGATCTAGATGCATAACCTCAGCGCAGGGGGTGCGCGCGCGGAAGCGATGTGTGCGGGATCGACAGGGGGAGCGTTCCCTCGTCGTTGGCCCAAGGGCTGTAAGGGAGTCTTCGGCCCCCCAGCAGTGCCTAATGACTGCGTGGTTGACTTAGGGGCCAAGGGGCACTTGAGAGAGAGAGGGGGGGTCCCAGAGGCAGAGGCGTCTCCCCGTCGCATTCCGAGGAAGCGGGGGGAGGGGTGAGGTTTAGAGACAGAGAGAGAGAGAGAATGATCAAGAGAGAATGAGACAGAGAGAACGAGAGAGATAGAGAGAGAGAGAAGCAAACAGAGAGAGAGAGAGAAACAACAATACAAACAGAAGAGGCACCAGATACAGTACATTCCCCTCCCACCAGTCCAGCAGCGCTCGTTGCGCAGCCAGCTGATTGGTTGCCCTTGCGGGGCAGCCGCATACTGGTAGGGCGAATCCACGGTTTCCGCCGGCCGCCCCCCCAGAGGGGGTATTCCGTGACACCTCCAAGCTCGCCTGAACCAGCTCACTTCCGCCAGCCCGCAGCGGTCTCTCCACTGACGGTCGAATTTGACGTGCGTTCTCCAGCGGGCACCTTGGGAAGGGAGCTCTGCAACCCCGATCAGGAAAAAGGGCAGCCGCGACATCTTTTGGTCTTGACAGGCATGCCTGAAGAGGGGATGGGAGAGCACAAAGGGCAGGGGTGGGCAGGAGGAGGGGGACTTTCCTGGGGAGGGACGAGGAGGGGAACACCCTCGGGGAGCTCGGTCATGGGGTGGGGAGCGGAGGCGACGACGCCTCGTGCCTCGGAGCAGCGGGCGACGATCTTGGCAGGGAGTCCTGCAGAGGGGATAGAATGTGACCTGCAGCTTTCCTGCCACCTCGCTTCGCCAGCCCACCGCCACTTTCCGCCAGCAAGCGCGCCAGCCAGGGCCTCCGCCGCGACAGAACGTCAATCGAAACTGCGGGATAGAGTGAGAGGGGAGTAAGGACAAAGGGAGGATGGCCAGGATAAAGAAGGAGAGAGGAGAGAGAGACAGAGAGGGAGAGAAAGAGGAAGACGACTAGGAAAAGCAGAGGACGAATAATAGGCCGAGAAACAGGCGAGGGAGAAGAGCAGCATGAGGTACAGGGTAGGTAGGAAATGCGGGGATGAGGAGTCAGGATCAGAAGAAGGAAGAGTCTGAGGAGCTGGGGGAGCTCTGGGAGGAACAGCGCGGGGAGCATGAGAAGGCGGATTACGGCGACACAGGCGTACATAGGATCATCGCGCAGATTGATGAGTGGTGATGTCTGGGGCCAGCAGCACTGCAGCACTGCGCTTGCGGGTTCGGCCCCTCCAACTCCTTTTATAAGTTAAGCAGGCAGACGTAAGGGGAGCAGGTTATGCACGAGAGTGAACATGTCCGCAGCAGCTAATATTTCGACAGGCGCAGAGGATACCCGTCACCGACGGCCTTATGCAGGACGGCCTTCCGAAGGAGGCCAGCCGGAGACCTCGCATCCAGCGGGGGAGGGAGGGAGAAAGCATAGTGGTGGATGCTTACGTTCTTTGTTGTTGCATTTGTTTTTGTTTGGGGGCTGGCCTGGAGGTCGCCCTCATGGCCACTGCTCGACGCGGCTTGGCAAAACGTTCGGGATTGTGCGGAGAGGTCCAGGGGCTCCTGTCCGGCGATAGCGAACCATGGCCTGGAGGCCAGCTTCCGTGGGTCGGGCTGTGCCTTCGTCGTGGCCGAGGCAGAAGAGGCCTACGCTCGGGAACTCGGCTTCAGCGTGTCGCTCTGCCAGTCTGGGCCCACCGCGCCTCGGCGTGACACGACATCCGCGTCGCGGTCCCCCGGCGTCCAGAGTCCAGAGTTTTCTCGAGCCTCCCGCCTCGAGGAGCGGAGCGACACGCTATCCGCGTGCAGGGCCTAGCGTGTCGCCGGGGCTGCCGGGGCGACACGCTGCACATGAGCGGGAGTCCCCGGCCGTGTGTCAGCAGTTGCGCCCGCCTTCTGCACTGCTTGTGGCAGTTCTGCGGCGCCTGGGTATGCTGCGGCTTCTGTTCGGGGGTCTGAGTGGGAGACGGGGGAGGTGAGAAAGCCTCTCAGCCTGCCGCCGTTCGCACACGGATTCGCAATAGATTGTGTTGTTTTCATGTGTTTCGGCAGCGCCGTCATGCACCGACGGATGCCATCCCTTCTGTACTCGGCCATGCTGACTCGATTTCTAAAACGATTGAGTCGCGGGTCCGTTGCTGCGAGGCGCCTACGTGATGTTTTTCTTGAGGGACTCATTTGCATATGCACGCATAATGCTTGTGCCGAACGCGAGGTTCGTGCCGTGGCCACTGAGCTGAGGCAGAGAGTGACGAAGTCGATAGCGAAGCTCAACCAGACCAAGAGCAAGGTCATGGCCGCAAAGCTGAAGCATGAAAAGGCGCCGGATCATGTTGCAGTGCTACCTATCGTTTTGATGCAAGTTACTCGTCTTTTTTGCTTGTTTAATCGCAGTGTGCCACATTTCGCGATCGATCGTCCCTCTGTGTTGCTCTCCAGCGTTGGTGCATTCAGCATCCAGTGCGACATGCTCGTTGCATCTTTGTTTGTCATCCCCACGCCTTTCGGCTGAACATGTGCAGGATCTGACCTGGGCTCATTCAATCTGCCCGTTCAGACGCAGGAGTTTTGCGGGGTGCACTGGCACAGCCCTGAGTTCCGAGAGTCGCGATCCGCACTGTTTCAAGCACTGTTGTTCGTCTTTGTGTTCCGATGTGGCTTATCTAGAGTCGCCGTTTTTGTCAGTCCACCGCCTCCAAATTCTCATCATGCTCATCATCCTTCTCCTTCTGATATATGGTGTCTCCCTTGAAGGCAGAGTCGAAGCTGTCGAGGTGCTTTTTGATCAGACCGGATCGTAATGTTTGTGTTTCTTTCCTACGATTCCCCCTCCGGATCTTCTTGCTGATGATCACGCATCTGCCCATCTTTTCCCAGCTCCTCATGCGACTTCAACCGCCTCGTCACCTCCTGCTCTCCTTCCCCTCCCTTCGGATGGAACTCCTGGGAGGTCAAATTCTGACTTCGCCCTGGTCCGAAATCCGGCTTGATCCGGCTCAATCCCGTTTTATTCGAGCAATCCCGCGCAATCCAGTTTAATCCCGCTTAATTTGCGGCCTAATCAGGCGCAGCAGCTTCCCGTTCGGGCTGAATTCTCCCGAATCCTTCCTGAGAAGACCTCTCAGTAGTTGCCTCCTGACCCTCCCGCTCATCATCCTCTGCTTCGGCTTTGCATGATACGCCTCCTCCTCTCCTTCTGCTGCACTTATTCATCCCCCTGCACCTGCTCGCTCTCTCTCTCTCTGTATATATTTATACATGTCTCTCTCTCTCTCTCTCTCTCCCTCTCCCTCTCCCTCCGATGTCTTGCTACAGAGGCTCCCACTGCTGCTGCTCTCCCTCTGCTGCGCCTGCTGCTTCAGATGCTCTTCCTCTCCTCCTCCTCCTCCTCCTCCTCCTCCTCCTCCTACTACTACTACTACTATTATTACTACTACTACTACTACTACTACTACTACTACTACTAGTAGTACTAATACTACGACTACTACTACTACTACTGCTGCTGCTGCTGCTGCTACTACTACTACCTACTACTTACTACACTACTACTAATACTACTACTACTACTTACTACTACTTCTACTACTACTACTACTACCCACTACCATACCACACCACTACCACTACACTACACTACCACTACCACTACCCTACTTACCCACTACCACGACCACTACCACACCACTACCACTACACTACCACTACCACTACCACATACTACACTACTACTACTACTACTACTACGATACTACTACTACTACATACTACTACTACTACTACTACTACTACTCTCTTACTCCTCTTCCCTTCATCCGCTCCTCCTCCTCCTCCTGCCCTGACCCCTCCTGCTCCTCCTCCTTCTCCTCCTCCCCCCCCCTCGCCTGCCTCTGCATGCTCCCCATCCTCCTCATCATCCTCCTCCTCCTCCTCCTCCTCACCCTCCTTCCCCCCCCCCTCTGCTGTTCCCCCTCTTCTTCCTCCTCTCCTTCTCCTCCTCCTCCTCCTCTTCCTCCTCCTCTCCCTCCTCCTCCTGTTCTCCTCGTCTTCGCCCTCCGCCTCCAGCGCGAGGCCGCCTGTAACCTCGCCGCGCCTCGGCCCCCCCCTCCGCCGCCCGCCGCCCGCGCGAGGCGGCGCCCCGCGGAAAAGCTGCTGGCAAGGCCGGCCCTGCCGCCGCGGCTTCTTGGAGGGAGGAGACAGCAGTAGGGACGAGGAGGAGGAGGAGGAGGAGGAGGAGGAGGAGGAGAAGAAGGAAGGAGTAGGAGGAGGAAGAGGAGGAGGAGGAGAAGAAGGAAGAGAAGGAAGAGGAGGTGTAGAAGAGGGGCAGGGGTAGGGGTAGGACAATGAGCGTATGAGGAGGGGCGCATGGGGAGGGGGAGGGGGAGGGGGAGGGAGGGGGAGGAGGAGGAGGAGGAGGAGGGAGGAGGAGGAGGATGGAGGAGGAGGAGGAGGAGGAGAGGAGGAGGGAGAGGAGGAGAAGGTAGGAGCGATAAGGATGAGGATGAGGAGGTGGAGGAGGAAGAAGGAGGGAGAGGAAGAGGAGGAGGAGGAGAGGAGGAGGACGAGGAGGCGGAGAAAGGAAGGAAGAGAAGGAGAGGAGGGGTAGAAGAGGGCAGGAGGAGGGGATAGACAAGGTTTGGAAGAGGAGGCGATGGGGAGGGGCAGGGGGAGGGGGAGGGGAGGAGGAGGAGAGGAGGAGGTGAGGAGGAGGACGAGGAGGAGGATGAGGAGGAGGCGGAGGAGCGGGGAGGGCAGGAGGAGGAGGGGAGGGGGATAGGAGCGGGGAGGGGAGGAGGGAGGAGGGAGGAGGAGGAGGGGAGGAGGAGGAGGAGGAGGAGGAGGAAGGAGAAGGAGGAAGGAGCGAGGAGAAGCGAGGAGGACGAGGATGAGGATATGGAGAAGGAGGAGCAGGAGGAGGAGGAGGAAGAGGAGGAGGAGGAGGAGGGGGAGGAGGAGGAGGAGGAGGAGGAGGAGGAGGAAGAGGTGGACGAGGAGGTGCGATGAAGAGGAAGAGGAGGAGGAGGAGGATGAGACATGTGGCATCCTGACCCTTCCACCCATTCAAACCCCCTACCATTCGATGGAATCCGTTTCGGTCCGCCCGTTGGACTAACACCTATAATTCAGTTTGATGTTTTGTCCCCCCTCATTCGCGGCGCAACCATGAAAGGAGTTGTTGCCCATGCGGAGGAGCATGATCAAGAGGGAAGCATAAACAGCAGATGAAGAATGATGAGGATAAGGATCCTGAATGAGGAGTGCAAAGGAGGAGGCAGCAATAATGAATTGTGGACTGAATCCTGAAGGGTGACCCTCGCTTGGGCGATCGCGCCATTCTGCACGATGGGTGCAAAGCGCCGACCCTGAAATGTGGCCAGCAATTCCGACGGAGAAACATTGTGGAAGGACCGAGAGCGGTCCGATCGCAAAGCGGCACCGAGTGACATCTTGCGTTTGAGACTAAGGCGCGAGATAAGCGAGAGCGCCTCTGCACATTATCAGCGGAGAAACTGAGTCGTATTATTTGTGGGTAGTTGTAAAAAAGGGTCGAGGA